CCTTGAGGGACTCGGTTTGTGGTGAGAGGGTAAAGATTTAAAAGGCACCAAAGGGACAACTTCTTCAAACAGAGAGTGGTGTGTATATGGAATGAGCTGCCAAAGGAAGCAATAAAGGTGAGTACAATTACAACATTTTAAAAGACATTTGGACAGCAACATGGATAGGAAAGGTAGAGAGGGATATGGGCCAAATGTGACTGGTTCAGTTTGGGAAACCGAGTCAGCATAGATGAGTTGTGGCAAAGGGTCTGTTTCCATGCTGTCGGACTCTGTGACTCTATCAGAGGAAATACTGAAAATCTCCCCTCTTTCAACAAAAAGAAGGCTGACTAATTGTCAAACAACATCATACTGTATGTGTGCAGTCTATTTAACAGTCACCAGAAATGCTGATTTACAAAACAAAATACAGACTGATTATAATTGCCCCTGTGTTTTCCCTCGTACTTACAACTAGTTTAAAGGATTTTTTTATTTAAGAAACTATTACAGTCTCGTTAATTGTTACATGCTTAAAATAAATTTTGGCGCAACAGATGTGGTCATTTTTGTGACAGTGTGATGTGCACCCCTCCCCCTTCACAATTGCAAACTGCACGCTTCAGCTAACAATGGCTATTTGCCTATAAAGCCAGCCTTAATGTAAAATGGCATGAGAATTTAGTGATTGTTTAGAATCACAGGAGAATTATAGCATAGAAGAATGTTGTTCAGCCCATGTCGACCCTCGACAACGGCACTTCAGCTTGTCATATTACCCCACCCTTTTCCTCTAAGCTAAGATGTACAGTAAGTTTCTCGGCACATTACCCAACAAAACAAAGCTTAATTTGTAATGAGAAAAAACATGCTGTTCCACTCTTCTTATGTGGTCGACGCTGTCTGTTCGTATGTAACAGCACTTTGATGTCAATGAATAACTAGACTGAAAGTTCATACAGCTAGATTATGGGAAAAGTGAGGATAGTCCATTTATTTTAGATTGTAAGTTATTTTTAAAAAAAAAAATAAAAATTTGCTCCTGAGTTGTACTTGTATTTTGCCTGTCCCAAGAGATTTTCTAAAGCATCTCATTGCAGCTACAAAATAATACTGGTCTGAGGCCAGTGATTAGCTTTGTATTGTTTATGAATGTAAATTGCAAACTCATGTTAAAAATAAATAAGTTGCATTTATGTTGGGCATTTTACATCCTCTGAATAACACAGAACGCCTCATAGCCAATGAATTATCTTTGTGTTGTAGGTAGCCAAACCTTCCAATTTGCACACCATGGTGGTGAAGTTGTAGATTTGCACTGAATCCTGAGCTGCTGTGTGTGTCTATTAAGGACCTGTTTGGTCTACGGTGCTAACTGCCTCTAGGAAAATAACATGATCTACAGTCTGCAGCAAGCAAGTTGCCCTGAGATACAGCCTGTTCCAACAAGTGAACTGAGTTTGAGTGAAATGCACTCAAGTTGCAACTTTAAAGAGCTGAAGAGTACTGGAAGTGGATGGGAGATGTGATATGATGATGCGGAGGTGCTGGCATATATCCAGTCCCAAGGTTTGTGGACATGGGGTGCATGTAGTCACTGTCCGTGGACCATTCCCTGAGTTCTGCGACTGGGTGTTCAAGGCTGAGTTCCTTAGAAACAAGTGGTGAGCTGGAATCGCCAAATGCCCACTCGGACCTCCATGTCGTGACTCCTTAGCATCTATTTTGTTCACAGCACGTGGTAGAACAGGAGGTTCCATATTAGTGAAGCAAGAATGGCTGTGCAGGACATTGAGGCTACTTTTGGAATACTGCGTTCAATTCTGGTTTCCCTGTTATAATAAGAATGTTGTCAAACTTGAAAAGATTCAGAAAAGATTTACAAGGATGTTACCAGGGTTGGAAGTTTGACCTGAAAGGAGAGGCTGAATAGGCTGGGGTTATTTCCCCTGGATCGTTGGAGGCTGGGGAATGACCTTATGGAGGTTTATAGAATCATGAGGGGCATGGATAGGGGGAATAAAAAAGGTCTTTTTCCCATGGGAGAGGAGTCCAAAACTAGAGGGCATAGGTTTAAGGTGAGAGGGGAAAGATTTAAAAGGAACCTAAGGGGTAATTATTTCACACAGAAGATGGTGTGTGTATGGAATGAGCTGCCAGAGGAAGTGGTGGAGGCTGGTACAATTACAGTATTTAAAAGGCAACTGGATGGGTATATGAATAGGAAGGGTTCAGAGGGATATGGGCCAAATGCGAATAGATTAATTTAGGATATCTGGTCGGCATGGATGAGTTGGACCAAAGGGTCTGTTTCCATGCTGTACATCTATATGACACTGTGACTCTATCTGTAGTTAAACAGGCTGATAGGAGGTAAGAATGCCCCTTTAATAAGTATCTCGCTGTTGCTTTGCAAAAATCTTGTGTCAACCTCCCAGGTCGCTGTTGGGAGCAACTAGCTGCATTTTCCAATGTCAAGGAGATAGGCCTTGCTTGAATTTTCACACAGTTTGCCCACATTGTTCAGTCCTCTTTAAGATTCCACCCTGTGTCCTCGAGCATCCTGGTTAGAATCCAAGAACAACCTGGGCTCTGGGAGTTAACTACGAGGAGAAATTAAACAAATTTGGTTTGGATTCCTTGGAATTGAGAATGATTAAAGGATCGTTTTTGATTAAAGGTTTCAAGATGTTAATGGGCACAGATTGTTTTGTTGTAACTAGCCTTCCTCTGCTGGGTGGGGAGTCTAGGAATAGGGACCATAGTCTGAGATTTGGAGCCAGACCTTTCAGAAGTGAAATTAAGGAACATTTCTCCACACAGCGGTAGATATTTGGAACCCACTTCACAAATAGCACTTGATGCTAGATTAATTGTTAATTCAAGACTAGATTGATAGATTTTTGTTAGCCAGCAGTACCAAGGGATACCTGGGCATTTGGAGTGCTGTTACAGGAGAGCCTCAAGGAGCTAAATGGCCTCATCATCTTCGCCTGTTCTTAGTATCATTTGCACAGTTAAATGAAAAACTTACACCGTCTGCAAAGGCTGTTCATTAAATTTCTGCAATCTCTGATTCTTAGTCCCAAACATTCATACTTCTGTCGGCACCTTCTGCATCTGCTGGGAAATATTTTACTACAGCAGAACACTAGATACTTTTTCTAGCTATCAAGAGGATCTTTCCTCGCTACTTCACTGACAACTGGCTTATCAGTAGTAGCCTATGTAAGAGATGGTAATGGAGAGATATATTTTACACCTGGTCGGAAGAGCAGAGGATGTATGCTGGCAGAAGTGGTGACTGCGGATATACTTGCAGGAAGAAAACAATGCAGAAATCTGAATAATAAGATTTGCAAATGAATGCTTTGAAAGAGAAATTGGCAAGGATGGTGTTGATGGCTTTGCTTGAAATTATGTTGAATTGGAAAGAGGCTGTGGATTTCTGAATAAATTGGATTTTATTTTGGATGGAATTGAATAGATTGTTACAAGAGAACATCGAAGAAATCAAGATTAATGACTTGGGCAGTTGATACTCCTGAAACAGAAGTAAGCAGTCATGGTGATTAAACCAGAACTGGAGGTTGAGTCTCTGCTGCATATCAAGTAGTATGCTGAGCCATCTGTTTTAATCGGGACAGGCAGAAGAATATCTCAAGAATATTTTTAAATATTTATCCACTATCATCACTGTCATTTCTTGTCAATGTTGTGTTTTTGATGCAGTTTTTGTTTTAAAATGTAGTCTTCTTAGTGGTAAAGAATCATTGTGCATTGTAATCATTTTCAAATAAAGATGTTTGACCAAAACTTGATTGATAGAATTAACGTGGGGAGAGGCGGCCAGCCATCTCTAGTCTGCTATTTTCAACATTCTTGTGAATTTATTGATCTTACTGATATATTACTTTCCACTTGTTTTCCAGTGTATTATATATGATCTTCTCTGGTTATTATCTAGGAGCAAATGGATCACCACCCTGGGCAGATGAGTCAAGTTACAGCCACATCAACTTGCATTTGTTTAGCACCTCACTTCACAGTAAAATGTTAGGTGCTTTACAGAAGCATAAGTAGACCAAAACTGACACTAATAGAACATAACCAGACTCTACTCCCATCTTACCCAAAACACCAACATTCAGATCCTACTAATTTTATTCAAGTGCACCAAATAAATCCTCGTGCGCAGACAATTAATGAATTCACAACAGACTGCATTATGCTTATCTAGAAAGCATCTGAAAATAAACCATCACAAAAAGCATTATCTAATGAGCCCCTGGGAGTTCTTTGTGGAATATTAAAAGATTTGACACCTTTTTATTTAAAAATGTATTCTTTCAATGGATGTTGCCATCACCACCAAGATTGTTTTTAGTCTATTTCTAATTGTCCTTGAACTCTGGGCTTGAAGTCACATGTAGGCCTCACACAGGTAAGTGGGCAATTTGCCTTCCCTAAAAGACATTAATGAGGCAAATGAATTTTTGCACCAACTGTTGATGATAATCTCTGTGGAAACTAGGTTTCAAATCCAGAATTATTAACTGAATTTAAATTTCATCAGCTGTGAAGTGGGATTTGAACACGTGAAGCCAGAGAAATAGCCTGGGCCTTTGGTTTACCATTGCAATGACATTAACATTTCAAGAGCAACTAGGGCTGGGCAAGAAATGCTGGCTAGCCAGTGACATCCACATCCCACAAATGAATAAAGAAAAGAAAACAACATTACAGCATCACCTTTTCCAAATTTGTTTGTTCATATACTGTATTAATTCAAACACAAAATAAAGATAAAAGGTAAAATTCTTGTGCATTTATTTGCCATTTTACAACAAGTTGAGATCTACTGGACCTCTGTTATAATAGCTATTGACTTGTGTTGTGACCTATAAAGTAATATGATTCTCCCATGTTAGCATTTATGCAGATTGAAAGGACAGCATTGTGACTGCAGTACTGATTATGTCAAACTTTCACTTTGGCTTCTGCTTTTCTCTCTTTAGCTGTGACGATTTGAGAATGCCGCAGCCTAGAGTGAGGTTAATAGTGACTGGTGATGATTTTGGATATTGCTTGAGGAGGAATCGAGGTATTATGGAATGCTTCAACGCGAGAGCAATTTCCAATGTTTCCTTATTGGTAAATGGCACTGCAGCTAAAGAGGCTGCTATATCAGCTGTAAGGTGGGTTTATTCTTTCCACACTTCATTTCTGACTCTTGTTAATAACTGATGTTATTTTGCAGGTACAGCAGGCCCCCGACGTATGAAAGCTCGTACGTACAAACAAGATTCCACAGTACTATTAATTTTAAGCGTCTGACGTATGAACACTCACTTGGACTTACACAATGGATATTTTATATTGGACTGATTTTTGTTCCAACTTGCAGACAAAAGGACTTATGAACGTGCTCAGGAGCAGAACCAATTTGTAACCCCAGGACAGCCTGTATAATTTATTTCTATATGCCCAACAATTCAGTCATTTAGGACTGCAATAGCAACTAACTTTGAAAGTTGGTGCAAGTTATAATGAAAGAAGAGAAGAAAAGCTTGCATTATGGCTTCCAGATCTCCCCAAGTACTTTACAGTCAATTAATGCTTTCTGAAAGGTTTTGGTTATGTTGTAGGCAAAACTAACAACCAATTTGCTCACACTCAGGATCCACTATCAATAGTGAGAAAAAGCACCATTTCGTTTGTATTAGTGATGTTAGGACTTAAAATGTTGGGTGAATTCCTCTGCTGTTTTTTAAATATTACAATATCATAAGATCTATCACAGCTCCAAGAGAACAAACATGTTTAATATCTCATCTAAAAGACAGCATCTCTGACAATGCTGCACTCCCTTGCTACTGCGATGAAGTGGCAGCATAGATTATGTGCTTAAATCTCTGGAATAGGACTTGTGCTGATAGTGAGCCAGAAGTTTATAGGTTTCAGTGCTATCCCACTGAGCCTATGACAGTGGATCCACATTTACAGGTAAATCATGTCCCTTCAGCTGATGCAAGGAATTCCAGCTGTGTATATATTCCATCGTTGTTGTAAGCCTGTTGCAAAGTTACCTACATTAAATTTTGCTAAGTTGTTTGAGACTACCTGAAGGCAGAAGTCTTGCTTTTAGACCAGTTATGAAGTTCATAATGTTCTGTGGTGGTCCTTTGGAAGGTGCTTTGGATCACCCAGAAAAATGTGTAACTTTTAAATGTGCTGTTTAATTTTTTTTTTGGTTTATCATATAGTTATATGCTGTTGCCAGCACACTAATCAGCATTCAGTTGCTGGAAGCCGGACTACATGCATATTTGCAGGCATACTCAAGACTCTGCTTTCCTTGGGTTAGAGGACAAAGTAAAGTTTACAGCATAATTTGGGGCTGCCAGTTTTATCAGACCCAAAGTTGTACCTTAGGGATAGTCATAAACAACTACTTAATCCCAGCCTAAACATGTTGAAATAAACTTTAATCTATGATCATCAATTAAAATTCATGGTCATTCCCTATGACTGGTTTTACAGAGGATGAAAGTGAAATTCTTTCTACTTTAAAATATCTTTATTCTGGGACTACAATAGAAACAAAAATTGCCTTACCAAATGGCAAGGATTAAACAACTAGCAATATTTTTTGCACTCCTAAGAATTTGATTCTGCATTTCAAACTTGATTTGGCAGAGATGCATCATTTAAGCATCACCATAAGACATCGATCATTCATTATGATCACGACTGGTCCAACATTCCTCTCATTCATTTTTCTGTGATTGCCCCGTAACCCTTGATTCCCCTCCTGATCAAAAATCTATCTGTCTCAACCTTTAAATATACACAAGAACTTTGCTCCATAGCTCTCTGTGGCAAGGAGTTCCAAAGACTTTCAACACTCTGAGAGAAGAAATTCCACCTAATCTTGTTCTTAAATTGGTACCCTTTATTCTGAGACTATGCCCTCTGGTCCTGGATTTTTCCCATTAGGGGAAACATCCTCTCAGCATTTACCCTGTAAAACCCCTTTAAGAATCCTATATGTTTCGATGAGATCACCTCTCATTCTTCTCTACTCCAATGAGTGCTCATAGGACAATCCCTCCATAGAAGGGATCACCTATTGGAAAGAATCCAGATCAGGCCATGAATACACACTATGTGCACTTGTTCAGTAAATTCATATTCACAACTTCATGTGTGCAAGTACTGAATGATTTTCCATATTCCCCAGGAGGGATATAAGCCCTGAGTACTTTGCCTTTCACAGTAATCATGCAATATAGAAAGATTTAAAAGGGACCTGAGAGGCAACTTTTTCACACAGAGGACAGTGCATATATTGAAAGAGCTGCCAGAGGAAGTGGTAGATGCGCGTGCAGTTATAACATGTAAGACTTTCGGACAGGTACATAGATAGGAAAGGTTTAGTGGGATATTGGCCAAATGCAGGCAAATGGAGTAGTTCACATTAGGAAATCTGGACAGTATGGACGGGTTAGGCCGAAGGGCCTGTTTCAGTGGTGTCTAACTATGACTCTACAGTCACTGGGGGAGGTGATGGCCTAGTGGTATTATCGCTGGACTGTTAATCTAGAGACCCAGATAACATTCTGGGGACCTGGGTTCAAATCCTGTCATGGCATATGGTGGAATTTGAATTCAATAAATATCTGGAATTAAGAATCTAACGATGATCATGAATCCATTGTCAATTGTCAGGAAAAACCTCTCTGGTTCACTAATGTCCTTTAGGGAAGGAAACTGCTATCCTTACCTGGTCTGGCCTATATGTGACTCCAGACCCACAGCAATGTGGTTGACTCTTAACTGCCCTCTGGGCAATTAGAGATGGGCAATAAATGCTGCCTGGCCAGCGATGCTCTCATCCTGTGAATGAATAAAAAAAAATCAACGATAGCCTTTAACTCTTGCCTATTTAGATTTTATACCTGTACTGCCTTAAAACCAGCTGCACCAAGATGAGCACGGTTAGTCCAGAGCTGCTCTGCATGGCTCCTGATATTTGCGTTGCCTACAAGGAGAAATTAGCACCCTGCTTTGTGAGCAGAAACCTGGAGATCCTAGTGGACAAGGTGATGCAAATGCAAGACATCCTCCTCCCCAGGCCCAGTGGAAGCCACAATGCCAGACTGTGCCAACCTGTTTCAAGATTGCTACCTGGGTCATTGCAATCTCAGCTGTCTGATAAAATGCTCAGCAATGTAAGAAATAGGTCAATGACCTTCTCCACTCTGCCAACGTTATCTTTCCAAAACCTCTCATTGACTTTATCTCTGCTACTGCACCCACGTCCCACCAAGGTTCATGCTCTATTACTGTCACTATTACCTGCAACAGCTTCCTTCACTTTATCTCACCCACCCCAGCCCTACACTGGCCCTGCATATGTCTGTGCTCACTCGCTCAGGACATGTTCCCCATCTGCATCAAAAATAATAGCTACATCACCCACTTTCATCTCCCTCATTACCTGCCTCTCATTCCAGGAAGAAAACAGCCCACAATAGGGCAGAAGACATGGGGTGAACTGCCCAAAATCCATTTCCCCACCCTTTCTGTGGAGAGGTTGCTGATTCTGAACGCTCTGAGCAGCTGACTGAGTGAGTCCAAGTCCTTGGATTGGTATCAAAGGTTTCCTTTGATTTACTGTGCCAGGACTCCTAAACAAAGGCTTTGGACTTGACTGAGGACTTCCGGCAACTGTGACTACCTTCTTGGCTTTGTACTTACTGTATTGTCTTCCTGTTTAGCACAGTGCTGTGTGCCTGGTATCTCCAGCTGAGGCGCAAAGCACAAAAGACCAAGGCAATGTAAGGTAGGTAGCTGCGTGCATCCAGGTAGTCTCAAAGTGAGTGAGTGCTAAAAGGTCAAATGAACAGCCCAGAGATGAAACAAAAACAGAAATTGCTGGAAAAGCTCAGCAGGTCTGGCAGCATCTGTGAAAATGCCCAGAGATGGAGTCTGGTCCACAGTGTAGTATTTAAATTTAGAAAGCATACTGTGTAGTTCTTAGAGGCTGTATTGTGTCAGATGCCAATGTCTATGGAGATGACCTATGTGTGGTTTATGCCCATGGATAAATTGGAGCCTAGTACCCAACGTGGAGATCCATTGGAGCAAGTGGAAAGCTGAACTCACCCAGGAACCCACACTGACTTCTTGAAGTTGAGAATTTTTGGCAGCATGTAGTAGGGTAGGAAGCTGCATATTAACGAGGTGAGATGTGCCATTAGTCAGGTCATTATCAATAATCCCTCTTAATGGGCAACTCGCTGCTGTCTAGTGAGAATCTCACCTTAACTCCCAGAACCTATTTAAAAGATGCAGGAAGTTGTTCCTGGTATAGAGAGAGGCCTTACTAACTTCTCATGTGATTCTGCCATACTTCTCACCACAGCTCACCTCATTCAGGCCCCTGTTTCATTCTGCCCTTGATGTTCAGCGACTGTAACCAAGACAATTAATATAGGTCAGCAATGAATAAAGCCAACACTAAATACCACAATATACAATAATAATACAAAAACTCTGGTGGCTTAGTGACTGGGCTCGTAGTCCAGAGACCCAGGCTAAAGCTTTGTGAACTAGGGTTCACATACCACCACAGCAGCTTTGACACTTAAATTCAATTAAAAGCTCTGAAATACTCTCAGTAATGCAGAAAAAAATTGTTGTTAACACCTATCTAGTTCATTAATGCCCTTTAGGGAAGGAATCTGTCATCCTTACTGCGCAGACCTAATCCAGGCTAGCTTACATGTAATTCCAGACCCACAGCACTATTTGGCTTTGAATTGTCCTTTGCAATGGGCCACTCAGTGCAAGGGCAATCATGGATGGACAACAAAAGCTAGCCTTGCAACATCCACATCCATAAAAGAATAAAGAAGTTTGATCATACATAACAGAAAATACTGGAGATAATCAGCATTTCTGGTATGAGCCATTAGTTTCTCTGATTTTGATTTTGCATCTTGTTGTTCAGCTTCAATTATTAATGCTTTAAATTAACACTCATAATTGGCAAATTAAACTTTGGAACTAAAATAGTGATTTCATGCCATGCCCTGCCTGCCTTATCATCATCTTAACCTCCAGGATTTGTGCCTGATTTAAAGATGGTAAACCTTTACACTGGAATGTCTTTTACTCACAGGAGTCATTA